GAAGACGAAAATGTAACAATGTAACATAGAAAATGTAACATTTCGAATGACATTTCGACACTTTAACCTTTTCCCTATCCCATTTCCCTATCAGCACAACAAAATGACAATCCATTGCATAAAAAAAGCTGTGAAAATATTGAAATATACTCCCAAAAAATAATTTTAAAAATGATAAAATCAGAAAAATTTACCATCTACTGCAAGCAGCTGCATAGCACGTTGAGCAATGTTAACCTGAAGCTTATGCAAACCCAAACCCTGAAAATTTGCTCAAATACAAATCTTTAGCCTACTTGATGGCGTGCATAAACTGCAATGACTTCTGAGAATAATGAATATAATGAATAAGAGATTAACCTTGACTGGATTCCAAGACTGCCACATATCTGGACTTTTTCGGAATGTTCCATCACCACTACAAATTACATCACAAAGCACTCTATCAAACAACAACGGTTCCGATGTGTCCTGGAAATCTTTTCTTGAAATTAAAAGTACAGATGGAAATATTTCAGTGTATATAAAGATGTTAAGAGAGGTTAAAGGAAGTTCGAACAACAAACACAGTTTTTCAAAAGTTTAAAGGTATAAGGAAAATTCTAATTATATTGATAACCCAAGAGAAGGTGCAAACTTACTTTATCTATTGATAAATTCGGCAAAAATGCGGCATCTTCATTGATTACAATACAATTTGATGTTGGCATCCTTTTCAAAGCCTGACGGACCAGTAAATAACAACGTGAGTTGTCAACATCATTTGCCAAAATGAGGCCTTCTAAAAAGTTATACTGTAAAATTTATCATCACTGTAGACATTTTTTTTATATCAGTAGCAAACAGTGAAATATCGGACAAGGGGAAACTGAACGAAAAAGAGGGGGCTGCACAATCCAGTTAGCTACTATTTAGTTACCAAATTTACTAAACTGAAAATAAGAAAATAACAAGACTACCACAATAGTACCTACCTGACAATACTTTGTTCCATTAAGCAGTAAAAAACTGATGCTCCATTAGAAATATTATCCTAAGTTTAATAAAATTTTTTGAATTTGAATCTTGAAATTACCAGGTATTTTGTCATCGCAGTGCATCATTTCTATAATCTGTATAGTTTTACTTCCAGGTGCTGCACAGATATCAAGGACCTTGTGATGAGATTTTATATCAAGCAGAAGTGGAGGAATCATGCTAACCGCTTCCTGTCGACTAATATTACCCTAAAAATACATTCTGGAAGATTTCAAACTGTTGATGCGATGCTATTCCTATTCCCGTTCAAATACGAACGTAGTAGCGTGCAAAGGTACCTTTATGAAATTAGATTTTTTGTTCACAAAATATTTTTAAGCAATCAATTTCATTTAACATAAACTATTACAGAAATTAAATATTGGAACAAAAAAGCAATTATAAATAAGTATTTATGGTTTCGAATCTTGTAGTTTCTCATATTTTATAGTCTTGATATTCATAGCTCTGCAGTGCGCAAATACGAAAATCACAAAAAAAGGATAAAAATCCTTTTTTCAAGTATGTATATATCTTTTTTTGGAAATATATATATGCATATATAT